TGGAACTGACACCCCCACCCTCCACACACCAGTGCGGGAGAGCTGGGAATGACCACACGGGAGTTGGTAATGGGGACAGGAACTGTGGCTGGCTCTGGGGTGGAGCAGGGCTGGGTGTAACAGGGACAGAAGTTGTGGGGGGGGGGGGGGGGGGGGGGGGGGGGAGTTCTTAGCAAGCTCAGCTGCCCTTCGCCAGGCGTAGCAAGTCTCTGCGAGTCTGATACTACATTCAACCAGGTTTATCTTAAACCAATTACAGCTGTTTGGAAACTGGTTTATGTGCACTGAGCTTCTGTTCTGTTACAGGGTTAAACCAATTTCTGATCAGGTAAGCCGGTTTATGTGTAACTTCTGTCCCTAGCTTTTGACTCTCTTTAATTAGCCCTGCTGAGGAGAATAGAGCTTGTGCTCTGAGCCCTCTCAGTTCTCTGATCTTTTAGCTGAGCAGACTAGTAGAATGGTAGCCAGGATACAGAGAGGGAGTGGGGAGGAGTGAATCTGGGAAATCCCCATGGCGTTCTCATAGACGTACAGATTTGGAGGGACAATAAATATGTCTTCAGAAGCCATAGCTTTTGTGATAGAGAGATCTAAATTTAAAGGAGGTGGCTGAAACTACTGCATTATTTTGCATGCCATTAAACACACATCAGATACGTATGACTTTGTGACACCTACTGCACTGGGCTAGACTGAGCAGCATCAGAGGCCTATGTTATCTCCACATCATTTCCCTGAAGCACCCAAGAATGTGTGCTTCTGGTGTATTTCTTTTATGATCTAAAGGCCATATTTGTAGGTGACTCGACTACTTATGGAACTAAAAGGATACTAGTTAGGATTTGATACAGTGCTCATCTCACTCCCAATCTGTAACTGTCCCTACAGTGCTAGTGAGTCACTATGCCAAGTTGTGTAGTAATTTTGTGTTTGTATATTAATAAGGACTAAGATTTAAACCTATCAAATTAGCAACACAAATCATTAACTCAATGCTTTATGAGTTGGCTTCACTCATGTTGTCATTCAAAAAATGTGCAAAGATGCTTGTATAAAGCCCCTTTTCATTTTGTGCAGAAGACGTCTGGTTTTCATGCAATTTTTCTTGTACCATATACGTTAAGCAGCAGAATGCTATAGGCATCTCAAGATATATTCCCTGCCAGCACACTGCTAGTCACATTGCAGTATCACATTGCAAGTTTGTCTGGAGAGAGAGTGTAAAAGGAGGCAGACCTAGTGTTCCCAAAGCTCTCTTTTCCAAAACACCTGCTTTCTGGTCAGTGGTGTACTGACGGGGCGCAGCGGGCCATACTCCCAGGTGCTGGCCTGGTGGGGGGCACTGGCTGAGCTTGGTCCCCAGCAGCACTTCTGGTTTCACCACCGGCATTTCTGGGTTCAGTGATCGGCTGCCAGTGGATCACCCCTGAGCTTGGCGATTGTCTGTGGAGTGGTGGGGTGCAAATGCAAGTATTGGCCCCCGGGCACTGGAGACCCACGGTATGCTATGGGTACCATCTGGGGGAAATTCATGCTTTGCTCTAACATCTAAGAAGAGCTGTCAGAGGAGATATATTCTTAATAAGAGAGTTTATGCTGTAAACTGTTATTTGTCATTCTAGTAACTCTGGAATATTGAGTTCTAATTGGGTTAAAATTAAACTAGAGCTCTGAAAACTTAACATACTTCTTGCTTCCAGGAAAAATGTTTAGATTAATTTGAATATTTCTTTGAAATGGACATGGAAATTTAAGGATTGCAATTCTATTTGAAACTGTATTGCTAAAACCAGCCGATTAGATAACTAGAAGAGAAAAAGAAAAAAGAACATCTTTTAAATAAGAAGTGCTATCAAATTCATGAAGTAATCTATTTCAGTGTTTTCCTTATAGAGTAGTTGGTATCTCCTGTTGTTTGAGTGGGCTGTTCTCATGGAAACCGTGGAGCGAAAAATACCTTTTTCTAAACAAGAAAACATGTCTTGGCAGTGTGGACCCAGGAGCAGTTTAGAATCCAAAACTACTTTCAACTTATTTTGAAAATACTGACTACATTTCAGATGGATTAGCATCCTTTTAAATGGTGGTCTGTGGTCCCATGCAGCCCATGAGGAGTTAACATTTGGCCCTCTGGCTCTCACCCAGCAGCTGCTCCCACTGATCACCAGGGCTGCAATAACAGCTGTAGTCTCCAGGCTCCCTTCTCTCTTCTCCAGCTGCTGCTTCACGCCTTTGCTCTAGGGGGTCTGGCAGTGTAGGAGCCGAGGGTGAGTTTGGGGCTGCACCTGGAGAGGCATGGGGGAAATTGGGGCTGTGCAAAGTTGGGAGATCATGCCCATGTGGTGCAGCAGTGGTGGGGCACAGCTACAGGTGCACACTGCAGCAGGGAGAGATCTGGTTGCATGCCCATGCAGTGTAGATGTGGGGGTGGGAGCACAGTGCAGCAGTGGGTAGGGAGGGGGAGGTTCACACGGTGTACCTGATGTGGCCTGCATCACGTGTGACCCCTTGGAAGCTTATAAGTTGGAGAGCCCAGCTTTTAAATAAAGACAATGAAGGTCCAGGGTACATATCTTGAAAAGCGACAGTTGGTGGTTGTTAAAAGAAACCGGGTACAGAATTTGGTTCTACTGTAATGGTGTCTAAGTCCTTTGGGTTAGTGAAATGTCTCCCAGTGACTTGAATAGACTCTGGATGAGACACAAACCTGGTCCTGTAAGATACTAGCAATGTGTCTGGCTTTACTTTGTCTGTGAAACTAGAAATAATTTTCAGTAGAAATAGATTATGTTAAAAATAATAAATGTTCCCTTGCAGTGTTAACAATCCATACAAGAAAGTGTTGCATTGGTGCCTGAGAATCAGAAAGTAAAACAAACTGATGTGTGAATCAAAACTGAAAATGACTAGTAGAGTTTCATTGTCCAATGGTGCAGATACCAGCATGTTCATGCCAGTGTAATTTACACCACTTTTACACAGTGATGTTAATTACCCTGAGAGCTGGAGCAGGACAGTGCCTAAAAGCAACACCTTGTTGCTTGATGGCAGGGAACAGGAAACAGCTTGAGCAAATGGCTACCCTGTCACAGTCAGTGAAATGGGCTAGAAATGCAGACACACATCAGGTATATCTAAACCAGTATAACTTA